ACACCAGTTTTGGGCAAAATACAGCATGCCTCTCTTGCCCACGCACCTTACCTTGCTCCATGTGACTTCTTTTTGTTTCTGAGAATGAAGAGGGACGTGAAAGGACAACAACTTGACAACACAGAAGAGGTGAAGAAAAAAAACGAGGGAGGTTCTGTCAACCACCCAAACAGATGAGTTTGCAAAATGATTCTAAGAATGGAATCGCAGATTTGACAAATGTATTTAGTGTAATGGAGAGTACTTTGAAGGTGATACGTTTGTTTTGTAAAAAAACTTAAAATATATGGCTTTGAAAAATAATTTCGATTTTTTGGGGGGGTACCCGTGTATACCAATCAGTGAAGAAAAGACAGAGTTACAGTAAACATACTGTACATACTGAATTCTGCGTGAGACACTATTTTTCATGGGTCTATATCTAAATATGAACATTACACCTAAGTATACCGAGACGAAAAAAATCGGTGAATCACTATTATTAGAGGATGAAAACAAATATGCTTAAATATTAACTTTTCACAATGTCTCCTAAGTTGTAATAGAATGCTATGCCTTATTTTTAAAAATCCATTTGGGAGCTAATTTAATCTTACTCAATATTTCCAATATAGGCTGACATTTTGATAAATAATTATGTAACTTAAAATGATCTTTGAAGAATGAAAGCTTTAATTTTAAAGCAAGATTTAATTTTAATTCCTTCATTATCCTCATCTCAAGACAACTCAAAACCAAACTTGAGATGTAATTAAAGTAAGCATGTAAATATTTGTTTCTTCTTCTTCTTTCTTTATAGTTGTGTTTTTTCATATCCTTTTTTAAAAAGTACTTTTAAAACCTAATGAATAAAATGTAACCTTATATCATAGATATAGAGCACTAATAGAAAAATAAAATACAATCTTTTCTTTCTTTGGGTATGGGTTTCAAACCTGGTACTTCTTTTCCAAGTTCTGCCTGGCGGTAAAAGTATTCTCTATTATAAAAAATTAATATGCCCAGATCAAAATTTCACGAGAAGTATATGAGCGACAGGGCTCTATGATTTAGCATTTTCCCTTTTTTTCTCCTGAAAAACTATCCAAAAGAATTGGTAGTGAACAGTGAATATACCTAACAGTATAACTAAAACAACTGTGGATAATGGAATAACACAATTGAGCGGGAATTTTACATGACCTAACCAAAATCAAACCCACTGCAATGACTCAATTCTAACTCATAACAACCCAATAAAACAGAGAACTTCCCTCATGGAGTTGCAGGTGCAAATGGCTACATCTATGTTCCACAGGAAAGCTGCTAAATTCAAGCCATCAACCTCTTCAGAAATAATCAGGTGCTTAACTATTGTGCCACCAGGGATCCTTCTGTTGTATTTCCTAACAATGTAACGTGTGTAAGACAAACGATAATTGAAAAAAACGGGAGAAGCTGGAAAGAAGATACACTGAGTGCCTCATCTATAATGATTATTATTTAATCAAAGGTTATTATTTAATGCTGAACAATCAGGTAACAGAAATGCAGTCCTATTTATCAGAACCAAAATAACACTAAGAAAAACAGTATCATTGTTATTTAAGTCAGATAATGAAAGATTGGAAAAGGAAAAAGAAAAAAAAACTAATACTAATTATAGCTTATAGTTGGGAATAGGAAAACTAATACAATTTGAACAGAGATCTAAAATAAAAGAAAAAATGTTGGATGACTATTTGATCAAAGAAATTGCAAAGAAGTCGTGAGCAAAAAGGCTGAGACAATAGCATGTCTAACTCACTGAAGAAACATGCAAGCAGATCATTGGACTGATAAATGAGCTTAAGAGGTACGTGGAGACTAGACCAGACCAGACAACCAGATAAAGACTCTGAACTCTATTCAAAATATCTTATAATGATTAATGCAGAAGTATCTGTATAACATGTTAATGTACATATGTATAAAAATCGGGAAAAGTATAAATTAAACATGTTATTTTTGGAGTGGGGAAAGAAATGAGATTTCTTTTTCTATGTGATACCTTTCTGCTAAGTTTGTACACTTTACAATAAGCATGTACTATTTTTGTAGACAAGGAGCCCTGGTTGTGTAGTGGCTACGCATGGAGCTCCTAACTGCAAGGTCCGAAGTATGAAACCACCAGCTGCTCCAGGGGAGAATGGAAAACTATTCTGTGTCAGCCACTTGCCATCATGCACTTTTTGAACCAAAGGTATTGGGACAGGTAGAAACCTCTCTGAGAACTGTATAGCCTAGATACTAATTGAAAAGTTTACTGAGATACTCTAAACTCCATGACCAGTACATTAACAACAACAAAACATTAAAAATAAAAATTACATGTTTTTCTCAAATGAGAGAGAAAAAAAGTGCCTATGTACAAGAAGTCTTCAAAAAGTTGGTGAAAAAATTCCATTTTTTAACTTTATTTTTCTATAACTATTTGAAGTCTTTATAAACGCTTATCTGTGATACAGAGGTCTCTAGGTACACTGTTATATGCTAGAGCACCATCTACTACTTTAATTTGATGTCACAAAATAGCAAACAATTCAAAAAAGTTCAGTCATCCCATGTCACACAAGTTTTAGACATTTGTTAGAATAAGTTACTTTTATCTATGTAAGCTGGGGTCAAGTGACATTGCTTGGTATATAGTCTTCACAGTCTTTCCATGCCACCGTGTTGTAAAGGACTCTAACTCAGGGGCCTCTGGGATAAGAAAGCCATCTCAGAAGTAAGGACAGAAAATTCAGGATCCTCATCAACAAGTCGAGCATGGGAGAGATTCCTGCCCAAAGTCAAGGACGCAGCAAAGGCACCAGAGGCTGTGGCACACTGCCATCTAGAGAAAAGGACGAAGAGCGGTACTGGGCCGTGAGGCAGAGCAGAGTCCTATCGCTGAGCTCACGGGTCAGAATGATGTGCTTCCCAGCCCATGTTAACTTCCATAATAACCCCGTAATGGTGAGCATTTTCTGTGTAGCTGCAAAGGATTACTGAATCCAGCACAGAAAGCGAAAGCTGTGGAAAGAACAGTTGATGTTACAATAGGATTAAAGAAGGTTGGAGGGTGGAGGCATGTCTGACTTATACTTTGTGGTAATCGTCCTTGAGCTTGGAGTTAAATTCTTCTCATTTGTATGTTGTTGTTGTTAGGTGCCATCGAGTTGGTTCCAACCCACAGTGACCCTATGCACAACAGAATGCAACACTGTGTGGTCCTGTACCATCCTCAAAATTGTTTCTATTCCTGAGCCCATTGCTGCAGCCACTGTCAATTCATCTCCTTGAAGGCCTTCCTCTTTTTCTCTGCCTTCTCACTTTACCAGGCATGATGTAACTGTCTAGGGTCTGGTCTTTCCTGACAGTATGTCCATAGTACATAAGACGAAGTTTTGTCATCTTTGCCTCTAAGCAGCAGTCTGCCCATATTTCTTCCAAGACAGATTTGTTTGTCCTTTTGGCAGTCCACAGAGCTTCCAATATTCTTCACCAGCACCACAATTCAAATGCATTAATTCTTCTTTGGTCTTCTTTATTTAATGTCCACCTCTCATGCCTATGAGGCACTTGAAAATACTATAGTTTGGGTCAGGTGCATCTTAATCCTCTAAGTAACATTCTTGCATTTCAGCACTTTTTAAATGTCCTATGCAAAATGGGTAAATAAGCAAATGTGGTGAAGAAAGCTGATGGGTGCCCAGCTATCAAAAGATATAGCGGTTGGGGTCTTAAAGGCTTGAAGATAAGCAAGTGGCCATCTAGCTCCAAAGCCCACATGGAAGAAGCACACCAGCCTGTGTGATCATGAGGTGTCGGTGGGATCTGGGATCAGGTATCAGGCATCTAAGACCCAGAATAAAACCATATCCGAGGTGAAGGGGGTGGGGGTGGGGGGCGTGGAGTGGAGACCCAATTCCCATCTGTAGACAATTGGACATGCCCTCACAGAGGGGTCACAGGGAAGAGATGAGCCAGTCAGGGTGCAGTATAGCACCAATGAAACACACAACTTTCCTCTAGTTCTTTGGTGCTTCCTTCACCCCACTCTCATGATCTCAATTCTACCTTACAAATCGGATTAGACCAGAACATGCACACTGCTACAGAAAAGAGCCCGCAACAAAGAGAATCCAGGATAGATAAACCCCTCAGGGCCAACGAGAGTAGATACCAGGAGGATTGGGGGGCGGGGGAGGGGGCGCGGAATGGATCACAAGGATTAACCTAGAACCTCCTCCCAGGGGGACAAATAATAGAAAAATGGGTGAAGAGCTACAGAGGACGATGTAAGATATGGAAAAAATAATCTGTAATTTATCAAGGGTTCGTGAGAGAGGGTGTTCGGGGAGGGAAGGGGAAGAAATGGGGGGCAGCTATCAGGGGCTACAGTGGGAAGAGAATGCTTTGAAAATTATGATGGCGGCATATGTGCAAATGTGCTTGACACACTGGAGGAATGTATGGATTGTGATAAGAGATGTAAGAGCCCCCAATAAAAGTATTAAAAATAAATAAATAAATATGTCCTATGCAGCAGATTTAGCCAACGCAATGCATCTGTTGAACTCCCAAGCGCTGCTTCTATGAACAATGAATGTAGAGTCAAGCAAGACAAAATCCTTCACGACTTCAGCTTTTCTCCCACTCACTGTGGTATTACCATAATAAATGGTATTATCACTATTACTATTATCATGATATTACCTACTGACCCAGTTGTGAGGATTTTGGTCTTCTTTACATCAGTTATAATCCTTACTGAAGGCTAAACTCCTTGTCTTCAACATCAAGTGCTGTAAGTCCTCCTCACTGTAAGCAAGCAAGAGTGTATCCACTACATTACCACAGGTTGTTAATAAGCTTTCTTCTGATCCTGACACCACATTCTTCCTCATATAATCAAACTTCTTAGTAGTATAGTAAAAGGATACAAACTGATGCACATCTTCCCTGCAGTATTTTCTTGTTCTGTTTATATTAAGTGCCTCTTGGTCCATGCATAAACTCTACATAAGCATAATGAAGCATTATGGCATCCCATTCTTCTCACGGTTATCCATAGTTTGTTATGAGCCGCACAGTCGAGTGTCTTTGCAAAGTCAATGAAACACAAGTAAACATCTTTCTGGTATCCTCTGTTTTGAGCCCAAATCCATGTGACATCAGCAATGATATCCCCTGGCCTGAATCTCTGGTAGCCCCATGTCCATGTACTGGGCCAACCTAGTTGAACGATCTTAGCAAAATTTTACTTGAATGTGATGTCAATGATATTGTTCTATAATTTGAGCATCCTATTAGGTCACTTTTCTTTGGAATAGATACAAATATGGATCTTTCCAGTCATTCATCAGCTTTTCAATTAGTATTCCATCAATTCCTGTTAACTTTGTGTGGGCAGAGGAAGTCAGACCTGGCCTCCATGTCATTTCCTCAGGAGCTCATATCAGTCTACCTCTCACTTGACAAGGATCCTTGATGGCATAGCGTTTATGTGTTGGGTAGCTAACAGCAAAGTCAGCAATTCGAAATGAGGCGCCACTGCAAGAGAGAAAGACGGGCTTCCTAGTTCTATAAAAAGTCTCGGAAACGAACAATGACAGTTCTACCCTACACTATAAGATCGTTATGAGTTGGCACTGACTTGAAGGCAGTGTGTGGGAAACAAAGATTTCTCCCAAGTTGTCTCCCCCAAATATATGCCAAACTTAGCTGCTTGCTACACGTGGCAGATGACTATACACTTGGAGGTCAACAGAAGTAGGTCAGGGGTTATTCTCCCTAAGGGTTATCAGCCATCCAGAGCAAGGAGTCACCACTGTTTATCTCACAAGAAGGGCCCATTCCCTTCTGATAAGGATAGTAGTAAATTGTTTCCCTGAAGGAGAGCCCAGGGAGGTCAAGCCCACCCAAGGGTGACCATGGTTAGGCCACCATCATGAATCTAGGGTCCGCCCATCTTGTCACTTGTATACCTCTACTTCCACCCCTTCCTATCCGTGCACTCCCCTAGGTCATCCCCTTCCTGTCACACTTATGCCTATTGTACATCCCCTTTCTATGATGTGTATGCCTATTGTACTGCCCTTCCTGTGACATGTGGTTACCTATAATCACACACACACACCCCAAGTAGATATAAGCCTTGGTTAGCAATAAACAGAGGTCTCCGCCCCACCTCACCTCCTGCCCTCTAAGCCCATGCTGTGTGCGGACCTGGCTAGTAAGATCATGGCCATCCTGGAGGTGGGCATGCTAGCATGAAATGTGTCTGACTCCATTATTTCACTCTCCCTTCTATCTCTCATGCTCTCTATGACTTTACTATAATCTTTATATATATTAACTGTACAATTGCACCTATCGAACCCACAATTAGTTGTGGGGGGCTGGCCCTTTCCCCACAGCAGTGAATCAAGTTTTGAGTCTTATTTGACAGATTCCTTTTCTTAAACTTCATATACTGGAACAAAAAACCAACATTACAAAAGAACACTTTTAGCAGGGACGGGGGGAGATCCTATTAAACTAGGGACGGGGGAGATCCTATTAAACTGAACATAATGGTGGGAAGGGGAGAGGATGAAATCTAAAACAATTTTATAAAGACATAATTAAGTCCCTAGCAAAATTGATCAAGTAAAAAGAGGAGAGAAAAACACAAACTATAAGTATCAGGAATAAAAGACAATATCCATTCAGATCTTATGGAGACAAAAGGATACCAAAGAAACATATATATTTTAAAGATATACCAATAAATTTCACAATCTAGATTAATCAAATACCTTGAAACAATACAAATGAACAAAACTGACACAGAGGAAATAGAAAATATCAATGTTATTACTAAGGGAATTAAATTAATTACTAAGAATGTTCTCATAGCTTGGAGACATCTAGGTTTATTTGCACAACAGTCCACTATGACAATATTCTACATCCTACTTTGGGTAGTTGCAACTGGAATTCTAAAAGCTTGTGAGCAGCAATCTAAGATGCAATTATCAGTCTCAACCTGTCCAGGGCAAAGAAGAGTTAAAACAGTCAGAAATACAAGCGGGCAATTAGTCCAGGGAACTAATCGGGCCATATGAACCACAGTCTTCACTACCTGATTCCAAAAGAACAATATGGCACTTGGTTGATTGGGATCACAATAGAAGGTTCTAGACAGAGTAGAAGGAAAAAATTGCAGAACACAACTCAAAATCATCCAAAATAGATCAGATAACTGGTCTGACAAGAGATCAGTAGAACCCTGGGACTGTGCCCTTTGATACCCTTTCATGCATGGATCTGACTCATGCAGAGGTATCAACTTTCAGCCAAACACAGATAGGCCTACAGAGGGGATACAACTTCAGTACAATAAATCATATAAAACCAAAGGAGTAGCAATTACTTTAAAAGGGGCAGCAGGAGAGAAAGGAGTAGCAAAGAAGTGACAGATGGAGTCAAGAAACCCAGGGAAGACATGGAAAGAGGGAATTAAAACCAATGTCCCAAAACCCTGGAGAGAAACCTAACTTCAAAGAACCTTGGCTGATGATGATATATGCTGTTATACTCATCCCTGTCCTGTTTATTCTGTGTGTAACAAATACTGGCTGACCATGTCATTAAAACAATGTCTGCTCTATGTTCTGCTCCAAATGGTCCTCAGTTCACTGTAGCCAGAAAATGCTTTAAATATGGTGGGCTATACGGCCTCTGCTGCAACAACTAGCAACTCTAGTTGAAGCATAAAAACAGCAACAGATACTATATAAACCAACTGGTATGGCTGTGTTAAAATAAAATTTTATTTTAAAACACAAAGCTGGAGTTGGCCTTTGGGTCGTGGTTTGCTGATTCTAGTCTAAATGAAACCATAAAGGAAAGGGTAATTTTCTGAAATAGTCTCCAAAGATAGCCCTAGTGAACTATGTTCTTCTTAGTATTCGCAACTCTTGTGATGTCCCTTCCCACAGTGACCATGACTTGATCCTGTTACCTTCTTTAGCTGATAAATGAGGACAACGTAGAACTGTCCCCGTGAGTTTCCTAGACTATAACTCTTTACAGGAGTAGAAAGCCTCATCTTTTCTCCCTGTAGCAGCTCATGATTTTGAGCTGCCTACCACGTACCCACTATGCCACCAGGGGCATCTTTTTATTTTCATGGCATTAAAAAATACCATTTAAATATCTCTAGATTACTCCTCATGTATTGATTGCTACCAATGAATTAGGAATTTAAACCATGAAGATTATCTAACTGAAATCCACACTAATTGTGATATTTTACCTGTCCTTTTGCTATGAGGTAAGCAACAATAGAGGTATGTCCAAACTGAGCAGCCAGATGAATACAGCTACATCCTTCTCCATCAATTAATGAAGGGTCGGCACCATATTTCATTAGTTGCACAACCATGGATAGGTGACCTTGTCTAAAACATAGAAGAAGGAACACTTAGATAATAATATAAAGTTATTTCAAATAGGACAATCTAGAAATAAAATTAGGATAATGACAGAAAAAATTCCAAACATTTTAAAATGACCATGTCAAGGCATATTTAGCATTTCCTGGCTCTTAAAATGTCTTAACTAGGATAACATATATGAGGGGTAATTTATGGAAATATTCTAACTTCTTTAAATGTAACAATAAAAAAATTATTAATAATAGTTCAATATGATAATAGTCTCATGAACAAGGTGGGGTTAGCTTTTAATTTATAAATATATCTAATACTGTATTACATTTACAAATTTCAATTGAACTCATTATTTTATCTAATTGGATCAATATCTGCATGACTAATTCCCTAGACACTTTGGAAAACTAATTGTGCTTTCAGCACAGCTAACACTTGAGAGTACTGTATATACTCATGTGTAAGCCAAGTTTTTAGCGCAGTTTTTGTGGTAAAATTAGGTGCCTTGGCTGATATTCTGGTCAGCTTATATTCAAGTGTATATAGTAATGTTAGCATATTAATGACATTAACTACCAGCATAAATTCTCCTATGCATTTTATCAGATTATTAAAGGGGGGGGGGTGTATGGGAAATTGTTAGCTGCAGACTAAAAAGAAACCAGGAAAAAAATTCCAGAAGTAAATGTAAACCTTGTGGCCCAGTGCAATGGAGTTGAATTTAGGTCGCCTCCAAGTTGATCCACTATAGCACCTTTCGAAATATAGTATCTATAAGACAAAATTTAAAGCAATTTAGATAAAATCTGTTTTCTAGAAATTATATGTAAAATAAAAAGAAAACACTTTCCATTTTAGATTATATTCTAGATAGTGCTTTTGAAGATAGAATAATCTTTAATGGAATATTTCAAATAATATTGTATTAAATACATTTTCATTTGTTCTAAAAGTAAAATGAAAATAATATTTAGGTTACAAATAGACTAACAATGTTAAATAGCAATCATACTTTTTAAATTTTTTCAAAAGGTTAAAAAAAAGCAAAGATATGGATCTGATTGTAACAGCATATAGAATTTTAGAATAAGCCATACACTAGAATTGTTTGGGTAGCAGTCTTTTAAGCTTTACTTTACTCAGAGGATTACACAGACTACATCATACAGAATATATGAAAAAATGTTATACACTATAATGAGCAAACTAAATTTCTAATGGTTTATAATTTGTCAGAGGTATGTTGCTTAAAAAAATATCTCTCTCAGAAATGCTTACTGAATAATGTAATGTAAAAAGATCTTACTATCCTCTGAAATTGAAAGTATGACCAATACAATGAGTATTGAATATAAATTGAGGGATAGGAGAAAAGTGATCATTAAACAGAGTGCATCGGTGCGTGCAGTATAGACAGTCAGACTTATGCCTGATTTTTATGCAATTGTGAATAGAAGGAGTTCACTGGAGGTTTATTTCCTGTGTAGTTCCACCAATGAATCTTGGGCTCCCACTGTCATCCATAGCCTTCTAACACTCTCAGGGATGATGTCAAGGTATCCAGGAAGAAATAGGATGTCTGGGAACTGATTATGGAAGCAATGGTACAATTTTACTTGATGAGACTGAACGACGCAATGATGTGATATTTGGGTTAATTCCCAAGTAAGAATAAATTGAAAGACCAAAACAAACAAACATAGATCTAGAAATGATTTGGGGGCCCACACTAAATTCCAGCTCCAACTTAAGAACAATTAGTTTTATATCATGGCCCTGTTCAATACTCGCCTCCAGGAAGGGAACACGGAGGAGACAGGTGCTGTAACAAATTGTGGTGAAAAAAATTAGATCGTGCCCAGCTATCAGATAAAATAGCATCTGGGGTCTTAAAGGCTTGTCTCCAAACAAGCAGCCAACTAAGTGAGATGTCAACTAAGTCCACGTGGAAGAAGCACACCATCATCAGTCACTGAAGGATTGTGAAGCACATAATCCGAAATAGAAGGGAGGGATTAGTATCTGAGCCTAAAGCCTGAGAATGTATTCACTCTTATATGATAACTTTTTTAATACACTCATGATACTTGATTAAAAAATCGTTTGCCTCAAAAATGTGCTGAAATGGTGCTTTTAAAGCATTATGTGACGCAGGTCACAACTCTACACTATCATAACAAACAGTTCAAGTATCCTAAAAAAGTATGCCTATAATATTAAAGTATTATAAACACAACATTGAGCTATTCCTGAATTACTTCTTAAGGTACCTAGCAGACATCATGTAATGGTAGAGCTATTTAGAGGGGTTAAACTGGCCCTGCAAAGAATCGCTCAGCCAAAGAATAGCTTTATAGGATACATATATTTTTTAATTGCAATTGGGATTTTTGAAAAGCAATTTTCATTCCCTTCATTGCTGTCCATTTACCTGTTCCTGAGGGTCATTTTTACTTATATACAGCATATTTTAAATCTTTGCTAAGGCTATGGCAATGCAGGAGTCCCAAACTATTCTAAAGGTACAACTATTTTATCACAAGAATTTAGAAACTTTTTACCGAATCCTAAAAAAGGACTAACCACTATTACCTTTTCAATGTTAACTCTTGGAATAACTCAATATGTCAAGTCAATTTTGATCAAATCACCCTATAGAACGAAGTACAAATTCCCCATAGGATTTCTAAGCTTTATATCTGTACAGAAGAGAATGATGATCTTTTCCCCAAACTGCCAACCTTTTCAGGTTAGCAGCCAAATGCTCAACCCATTCACCACTAGAGCTCCTTAGACTCTTGGAAAATACCCACCTACTACCCACAGAACTATTGCAACACACAGTGACACTACAGGATAGAGTTAGAACTGCTCCTTAGAATGTCCAACGCTGTCAATCTTGATGGGAACAGATAGGCCTCCTCTTTCTCCTGAAGAGGCTATTTGAAATGGTAAATTGGGTTAAACACTGGACTAGCTCTTCAAGATCAGTAGTTCAATCCTACTAGTCACTAGGAGGGAGAGATGATGCTGTCTACTCCTGTAAAGATTTGCAGCCTGGGAAACCCTTGGAAGGAGCTCTTCTCTGTCCTATAGAGTTTGCTATAGATATCAAAGATTGACTTGATGGAGTGGGTTTTGACTAGAGAAGTTTGACATCAGGGCATTAAATCAGGAACCTGGGTGAGGCTCTGCACTGAAGGTATCCTAATTTGAGGAGGCCATCCAAAGCACAATAGCTGGTCTCTGTATTCACCTGAAGTAACAGAGGAAGAAGGAAAATCAGGAACTGGAGGAGAAACTGAAATGTATCCCTAATTGTTGCCGTGAACAACTGCCTCCTTTGCCACGACACCAGAAAAACTAGATGTGCCTGACTACCTTTACTAAACAATTTGATCAAATATCGATCACAAAGGGAAAAATTGGGGGCAGAATTTTAAATTCTCAAGGAATTCAGGCTTTATAAAGCCACTGAGGTTGGATGACTCCTGAAAGCACTGCTCTTAAAGCACTTAATCTTTAAACCTTAAACTAGAACTATCCCCTAACGTCACCTTTAAACCAAAGTTTTTCATTGAGTATTATGCTCTTCCAAAAAATGATGTTGTTGTTGTTAGGTGCTGTCAAGTGGGTCACAATTCACAGCAACAGAATGCTGCTATATACAACAGAATGAAATACTACCCAGTCTTCCCCATCCTCACAAGTGTTCTCCAGTTTGAGTTCATTGTCTGTCACTATGTCAAGTCATCTCTCTGGGGGCCTTCTATTTTACCAAGCATGAAGTTCATGAAGTCCAGATTCTGTAGGGACTAGTCTTCTCTCCTGACAACATGCTCATAGTACAAGACACGAAGTCTAAGGAGCATTCTGGTTGCATTTCTTCCAAGACAGATCTGTTAGTTCTTTTGGCAGTCTATGGATAGCACTTTCAAAGAATTATATGTGATCATATTGACAACAGCAGTTCAAAGTTAGATGAGAAGCAGAGGGAGCAGTGAGCTTATATTAATGGTGGTAAAATAATTTGGAAAAGGACAGCAAGAATGACTATACAACCTGAAAACATAATCTAAATCACTGAACTGTACCTGGAATAATTGCTGATTTGGTTTGCTTTGCTGTGTACATTTTCACCTAAATAAATAAATTAGACCAATTCACTACAAATATTTTTAAAATAGAGTTAGAATCAGGTTTAAAAGTTATGTTCTCAGCAAAATTAAATACATAGAATTTGATTTATATATTGGTGCTTTCATTTTTTTTTCAAGTTTATAAATTAGATTTCTTAATAATAACTTTTCCTTTTAAATTTGGCTATCAATTTAGTGATACTAACCTAGTAGTGGTTTTTTCTTTAATTACGTAAGTAATAATGGCATAATTACAACTAAATAAAAATAGGTTTAAAATATAGCTATATTTTCAACTAGAAAGAAAAATAATTAAAATTGGTTCTAATTTAAATTGTTCATTTTCTGTATGTTTCTATGCATGGCAATATAATAAAAGGACCAAAGTAAAATTTTAAAAGTGCAGCAATTCAATGACACGAACACGCTGAGCAAGAACTCCAGGCCCCTTCCTTTCTCAGTTCAACGAGCAGCCAGATGCTTTCACAGAGTCGGCAGATCCTTCCCTAAAAGACACCGAAGAACCCTACAGGAAAACCTCTCGGATACTGGTATTTGAGGATTTCCTGTTATGGAACTCTTCAAGACCCAGGGTCTCTAATTAGCTTGATTATGTCTCGCTCCTAAATATGAGTGGTCAAATACACGCAGATCATTGAGGAAAGCTTCAAATACGCAAGATGGAGACCAACATGAACAGAAGTAGCACAAAACACATACAAATAAAATGTAGGTAAGATAAACTTTTAAAACACAAAATATAACTTATATATTTCAAGAGCTATGAGAAGATAACACATACATCCATGTTACAAGAAAAGAATAGTTTTTTAAAAGGTCATGAAAGAATTCTTGGAAATGAAAAATGCTGTAAATTTCTTACCATTTGTATTTTGTACCCTTTGTAGGATTATCATTTTTATACTATGAAAGAATCATAGGAAAAATAAGGTATTTTATATATTTTGTACCCTTGGCTAAAATGATTATAATTCCAGAAATGTTATGGTACATTATACTTTCATTTGGGACACTTTACAACTTTATTCCCAAATAATGTAATGATACTTATGAAAACAAAATTTTAGAAAGCTGTAAGTAAAATCATAAATTCAATAGAAGGATTAAAAGATAAATTAAGAAAATCTTCCCCAAAGTAGAATAAAATTTCGTTTCCTAAAAAGCTATGGTAAGAAAATAAGATTAAAAAAAAAGAAAAGAAATCATCAACCTAGTGGATTCCATTAGCTGACAAATCGTTGAGAGAATCGCAGGGAAGCACTGCCGCAGGCACCACACAAGAAAAGTCCCATGATCTCAAGATACAACCTTCCAAATTAAAAGTGGCCATTCAGCGCCAATATAATGAATTTTAAAATAAAATAAAAACAAACCCTACTCAAAGTCAGAAATAAAAGAATCTGTAAAGCTCTCAAAAATGGGGAATAGACCATATATTTAGTGGTCTCTCAGGAAATCATAATCTCCATGTTCTTTGATAAAGCTTGACTTGAAATCAATGATAACATGTATCATTAGGAGTTCTGAAAAAAGAATTTTGAGGTAAGACTTTTAAACACAAGATGTTCCACTAATCAGTTTTATTTTACTGTGATTTTTGTGTTTTTGAATCTACTCTGATGGAGAGTTACCATAAGGGACCGAGTAGAATTACCTAATAGGCTTTCCTAGGTTGTAATCTTTACAGGGAGTAGATTACTAGGTCTTTTCTCCTGCAGAATAGCTGATGGATTTGAACCATCAACCTTTTGGTTAGCAGTCAAGCTCTTAAAAATTGCACCACCAGGGATCCTTTTTATTTCATTTCAATATACTAAGAATATGAACTTAATCCAGGCTAGAGTCAAGGACTTTTCATCTAGGAAATACATTATATGTTATCCTGATGAACGTAGCCTAGCTACTCTGCTTGTAGTGAGTTATTCAATCCACCTGTTTGTTTTTTCTTTAATACATCTTGGTGCATTTCCTATGAAACATATCCATTAGAAGAGGTAGTTTCCCAGGAGGCTCTTATGCTCCCATATGTTTTGTGGGATATGCCAAAAGCACAATGCTCTGACCACTCTTTACAAAGAAATTTGTCAGAGCTGTGTTTGCATTAAAAGATGTTGTGATGTTTCTCTTTGGGACAAGAAGCAAACATACCTACTGATTACTATAAAACAGTGAGTTCTCCAAGTTCAAAGTTTTTCAGTTATAAGGAAACCCACTATGTGTGCATCATCCATCTGGACCACATCAAGTCACTCCCATGGGAGGCAAGAGGAAAACTTATGCAAATATGATATTCATATTGTAAATAAATAAGGCCCCTTTTCTCAGATACAAGTCTTGTGTACTTTGCCAGTGTCCATAGCATAGTGACAGGTTAAAGCTTTTAAGAAGGTAAAATCCCAGACCCCCAAGTACCTATCTTGAAACCATGAGTATTAGTTGTGTTATTGAGAACTGCATTTGCATTTGTTTGCTTCAGGACAATAATTTGTTATATTATGTCTATTGTAAAAAAGAAAATTTATCACTCAAAGATGTAACATGACTTTATTGCTTCTGACTTTATCATTTCATTAGACTATGAATTTGAGAAATAGAGATGAGAAATAAAGATAAAAGTATTGAGGGTTTCTAGGTTTAATGTAGAAAGCCTCAATACTTTTTATCTGATTTTTCTCATTTCATACTTCAAGTTTAAAAAAAAACACCACAAAATAACAAATGTTAATTTTTTCATCAATAGAAATGGGATTGAACATTTCAACTCTAACATTTGAAGCCAACAAACAAAATAGATTAGAAATTCTGCATATTCAGTCAAACAACCAATAAGGTTTGAGGGCAAAATAGATACGAAGAGGTACCCCTAAAACAGACCAGAATTTTTTTCAAAGCTATGTATTTAAATATTTTTACAAAACAAACTTAACACTTTCAAAGTAGTCTCCATTACACTGAAGATATTTGTCAAATCTGCAATTCCATTCTTGGAAACATTTTTTTCAAACTCATCTGTTTGGATGGCTAACAGTACCTCCCTCGTTTTTTTCTTCACCACTTCTAAATCATCGAATAACTGTCCTTTCATGTCCCTCTTCATTTGCAGAAGCAAAAAGAAGTCACAAGGAGTGAAGTCAGGTGAGTAAGGTGCTAGGGCAAGAGAGGCATGCTATTTTTGCCAAAAACCAGCACACTGAGGGCTGTGTAAGCAGGTGCATTGTTATGATGGCAAAGCCAGTCCCCCATCTGCCAAAAATCCAGCCATTTTTGCTGCACACTTTTAGGCAATCTTTTCAGAACCTCTAAATAGAAAGCTTGAGTAACAGTCTGACCTGGTGGAACAAACTCCAAATACACTAACCCCCTCATTTCAAAAAAAACAAATGAGCATCGCCTTGATCTTTGAATTTTCACTTGATGAGCTTTTTGGGGGGATGATGGCATCTTCCACTGGCTTGATTGATGTTTGTTTTCGGGGTCATAAGGATAGCACCATGTCTTCAATTACCTTGCAAAAAGAGTCTGGGTAGCTTCGGAGGAGCTATTCTTTCAAAGCTCAGCATGTTTCCACTTGAAGGTCTATTTCCTGGTCTGTCAGAACCCGAGGCACAAATTTTGCAGAAATCCTTTTCATTCCCAATTCTTCCAGTTAAAATTTGCTGAACCAAGCTTCAAGACAGTCCAGAAAACTTATCCAACTCTTCAATGGTCTGTCGTTAGTCTTCAAGCACAAGTACATGAATTTTGTCAACATTTTCTTCATTCAGGAAACTGATAGACATCCAGAACAAGGTTTGTCATCAATCGACATTTCATCTTTTTTGAAATGAGACAATGACTCAAACTTGAGCTCTTCCCATAGCACTGTCCTTGTAAATCGTGTTCAAGATCACAGCAGTTTATGCGGCATTTTTCCTGAGCAGGAAACAAAATTCCATAGCCGCATGCTGTTCTCTTAAATTGGCCATCACATAAAACGAGGTTTGAGCAAAACTGGTTCATGAAAAAATTCACTGGGACCAGAGAGACCCTTCCCAGGACACGTCACTGGGTACACCCAGAGTAAGTTGCTTGATGCCTACCTAAGGAAAAAATACGTACTACAAAAGCTCAACCCAGAGAAGCTTTCTTATATTTTAGAAGGGGTACCCCCTTATATTTTCAAACATACAAAATTTCCAAACATTTCTTCAGAAAATGTGCTTTACCAAAATCAGGAAGCAAAGCAATGAAGAAGAAAAACCTAAGATCCAGGAAGGAAAACCTCAAAACAAAGGTTTTAATAGCCCTAAGGAACAAATAGTAGAAAGATGAGAAACCAGGAATGATTCCATCCTTAAAGTAATATCATTGGCTTTTCACTTTCTAAATAGGTCTAATGAAGTCAATTTACCCAATGCGATGTGTCCTTTGATCTCTTGACTGCTGCTTCCATGAGTGCCGATTGTGGATCTGAGCAAGAAGTCCGTAAAAACTTTGATCTTTTCTCCATTTAATTATAAACTTACTCATTGATCCAGTTGTCTGAATTTTGGTCTTCTTCATATTGAGTTGTAATCCATACCAAAGGCTACAATCCTTAATCCTCATCAGCAAATGTCACTCCTGTTTAATCTTTCTTTAATACTCTATGGGCACGTTTTCTTTCAGGTATCATTATCCTATTTGCCTTTAATCTGTATGGTACACTTAACTGCACATCTGCAAGGAATCTATTTGAGATTATAGCTTTAATTAAAGATCTATATCCAAAGTGTTTACTAAGTTTACTAAACAAAGTTTACTAAGAAAGATTTCCTATCATCTTGACCTTGCTTATCTATTTCTTACTAATACTAACAAGCAGACAATTGATGATGGATAACAACTCTACCCTTAGTAGATACATAAAGTATTCACCATAAGTTAAATAAGATTAGCACCTGTTCTCTTTTTGAGGTCCCAGAATGACACAAATGGTTCCCTCATTTGTGTAAACTCTCATTATGTTGGCAGTTCAAACACACAAAGCACTGCTGTGGAAGCCTGTCATGCTTTCAGTAAAGATGACAGCCAACAAAACCTTAGGAACAGTTCTTCACTGGAACACGTGGTGTCCCCTGAGTCACAACCAACCCAGTAACAGCAAGTTTGGGGGCATTTTTGGTTTTATTATTTTTTAACCCCTCTTTCCTTCTGTTACTTTTCTCCACAGAACCTATGTTTAGCATGCAAACTTCATATCAAACTGCTTGAGTTGGAAATCTAGCTTTAATTCTAGCTGTTTACCGATTAATAAAACAATAATTATATTTCACATAAATTCTCCCATGAATGAAGAGTAATTTAAATATACATGGAAAAGCATTTAGTACCATATCCAGTACATAAGAGACATTGAGTATATATTAAAAACAATTCTTCCCAAGGAAAAATACAGAATCTACATTTTAAAAGCCTCAACTTTTATAAATTAGTGTAATTTTCTAATAATTTTGTAATAAAAAGTATCAGTAAGTACTTAAAAATACAGAAAACACATACTTGACTAAGTCGATTCTGTTATTAATGGCAGCCCAATGGAGGAGTGTAACATTTTCTTTGTCTGGTTGTCGAACATCATAACCTGCTTCCACCAATTCTCGGCAGCGTTCATATATTCCATATCTTGAAAAGAAAAGGGAAAAAAATGGCATTCTTACTACTACTTAACAAAAAAATGTAAAAATTAAAGTAACATTTTCAGAAGAAATAATATTTCATTTTGATGCCTGGAAATTAAAATAGATTTCTCAAAATAAAATGTTATCTGTAAAATTGCAGCATAGCAACCAGCTTTACTATTTTAATGGTTACAAAATAGCTTATTTATAAGACTGTGATACTATAATAGGTGAAAAAGAAAAGAATATGAGAAACAAAACTTCTATCAGATGCTTGTTTTATTTGTTTAAAGTGCCACAAACCACTTGAAGCAATTTACAAAAAAAAAATACAATTAAGTTATAAAATGTTCAATACATTAAAAGCATAAACAAGGAACAGAGTTAAAAAGACACATACACACATCACAAATAATTCTTCACTTGAAAATTTAGACATTCCTGAAGCCAACAAAAGGATGTGTGGAGGTCAAAAGCAGGATAAGGAAGAGTCTTATAAACCATTAGAAGGTAATAAGACAAAAGAGTACCCGCGGTGATAGTTCTAGGGCAAAGTTTCAAGTGTACATATTGAGAAAAGTGTTTGTGGAGAGTGTGACTCCCTCTTTTTCCCGACCACCTGTACTTTAAAAAGTACCATGTCCTTCTCCAGGGAGGGACTAATCTCTCCAGCTAACCTGTACCAAAATAGGTAAGATGAAGCCTTGTCATCCTTCCTTAGGGAGCATTTTGGTTGTACTTCTTATTAGACAGATTTGTTCATTCATTTGGCCGTCGATGTTATGTCCAATATTAATCACCAAGACCACAATTCAGCGGCACCAATTCTTTCTTACTGTACAGCTTTCACATGCATCGGAGGTGACTGAGAATACCATGGTTTAGGCAAAGTATACTCAATCCTCAAAGTGCTAACTTTTCTTTTAGACAATTTAAAGCAGTCTTTTGCAACAGATTTGCCAATATGCCATTTGATTTCTTGGCTACTGATATTACAGGCATTGATTGTGGATTCAAGTAAAATGATTTTTTTCCCATTTATCATGTTGTTGCCTTACTGATCCAGTTATGAAAAGTTTTTTTATGTTGTGCTATAGTCCATACAGAAGGCAGGAGTCTTTTTTTTCCACTTTTTTTTCCTATTTAAATTTCTGTATTTATGCAGATAAAATTATGACACATAGGTTTTAACATATTTTAAACTATAATATAGAAAGGTAACGTAATGTTAAAGATTCAGGTTACACTCAACCAAAATAATTTTAACGGGAATTTCTGATGCTTTCAGAAATACATTTTACAATAATGTATGATAAAGTATATTTCATTTTTAATAATATTATTCAAAGTAATTTTAATTTGAATTGCTCTTAATATTGCTTCTTCATAAATATTAATTTAAAATTATAAATATTTATTAACATTACTCGGGCTTCTGGGCATACAGGAGTGTATTAATTAAAAAGATGCTTTTTATGCAACATAAGCATGAGGATGTCTTTCTTTTTAATTCAAAATATCTTAATCTTATTCTTATTTTCATATTTCAATTCAAAACAAATGTATAAAGTAAAAAAATTATCACAGATACTTAAATATTCCTATGAAATATATCATACCCACTGAGGAATTTAATACAAGTTACTAAAGAATATCAAGCTAACCATTTAAGGCAGGAGTCTTTTATTTTCATCAGTACGTGCTTCAAGTCTTCCTCACTTTCAACAAGTAAGGTTCTATCATCTGCATCTCTCAGACTGCTAGTGTGGCTTCTCCAATCCGATGCCAGGTTCTTCAGAGGGTCTAGCACCTCAGATTACTTGTTCAGCATGAGGATCAACTAAGTAAAGTGAAAAGATACAACACTAATACTGACTGTCCCTGATTTTAAGCCAGGCAGCATATCCTTTTCTATTCAAACAATTACCTCTTGGTCTACATGCAGGTTCCACATGAGCATAATGAAGTATTTTGTAATTCCTATTCTTCAAAATGTTATCGATAGTTTGTTATAAACGGAGTAAAATTCCTTTGCATAGTCACAGAGGCAAACATCTTTCCAGTATTCTCTGCAGTGAAGATCTAGCCCTCATAACAATGATATTCCTTATTCCATGTTCTCTTCTGAATACAATTTGGACTTCTGGTAGTTCCCTGTCCACATACTGCTATAATTCATCTGTTAACTTGTTAAATTGTAGTGGGTTGTGTGTGACTTTGATGCTAGAAGCTACTGCCTCTGTATTTCAAATAATAGCAAAGTAATTCATGATGAACAAGTTTAGCAGAGATTCCAAGTTAAGAAAGACTAGGAAGCAAGACTAGGAACCTGCTTCTAAACATACAGGAAAAATACTGGTCACTGAAAACTTTATGCATATGAGTGTAACATTATCTGGTACATTGCTAGGAAATGAACCTGTCAGGTTGGAAAGCACTTAAAATAATGATTAGAGAAGAGATGCATCCTCAAAATAGAGTTGATTTTAATGATATAAATGGGTAAAACTTTCAAGACTCATTTGCTGATGTGCCAAGACTCACAATGAAGGGGAAAAAAATACACAAGAATAATCAGAACATGGAATTTATAAAGTATGAATCTAGGAAAAATGGAAGTCAGCAAAAGAGAAATAGAATGCATAAAAGATAGGTATCCCAGGCATAAGTGAGCTAACATGAACGGGTATTCGCCATTCCGAATCAGACATTCATATGAACTACTATGCTGGGAATGAAAAGGAACAGTGTCTCATTCACTTTTAAAATCAACATTTCAAGGTCTATTCTAAAGTATAAAGATCAGTTAATATGACATTACTCAAATTTATGCACCAATCACTAATGCCAGGGACAAAGAACTTGAAAATTTTTTACCAACTTCTGTACTCTGAAACTGATCAAACACAATCAAGATGCATTGATAATTACTAGTGACTGGACTGCCAAAGATGAAAACAATGAGGAAGGATCAGTAATTAGTAAATATGGCCTTGGTGAAAGAATCAATGTTGGAGATCCCAAGACAGAATTTTTCAAGGCCAACAATTTTATTTATTGCAAATACTTTTTCCATAAACATAAACAATGATTATACACAAGGATCCCTTAGAATGTAATAGAAAGGACTCAAATCAACTAAATCTGTATAGGCTGAGAGGCTGGAGAAACGGAGAATATCATCTGTTTAAGAAAATGATCATGGGCTGACTGCTGGACAGACCAACAATTGCTGATATGCAAGTTCAAGCTGGAGTTGAAAAATTAAATTCATGAGAACTACAGTATTCATATCTTGAGTATATCCTACTTGAATTTAGAAGCCATCTTAAGAAGACATAAAATGTATTCAACACTAAAATCCGATGACCAGATGAGCTGTAGGGTGACATCAAAGATTATCAGACATGAAGAAAATAAAAGGTCATTAAAGACAGGGAACAAAGAAAAAAGCAAAATGGGTGTCATGAGAGATTCTAAAAATTGTTCTTGAACAGAAGAGCAGCTAAAGCAACTGGATGAAATAATGAGGTAAAAGAGCTGAACAAAAATTTTAACAGTGCTCTCCCTCTTGAAAAGATCACTGAAAATATGGGTGGTATAGTAAAATGTAGTGAAGAAACTTGATGGTGCCCAGCTATCATAAAGAATAGCATTTAGTCTTAAAGGCTTGTTTTCAAATAAGCAGTTGAGTAAGTGAGGCGTCAACTAAGTACACATGATAGAAGCATACCAGCCTAGGTGATTTCAAGGAGTAGAAATAATATAATCCAAATGTGAAGAAGGGAATGGTATCAGGATTTAAACTGTGAACACCAGGATTGCAGAAGTCTATGGATGACCGTGGAAACCCAAAACCATATTTTCTGTTTTCTTTTCAATTAAGGTTTAAATCTGTTTTACTTTGTTATTTATTTATTTTTATGTTTTCCTGTATATGAAATCCATGACGGGTACATCTATTGAGTAATAACTAGATTCATGGTTCTTTGGGGGGTATGGCATGGGGGCTGTGGAGGAGGGTGTAGAGACAGGGATAAGGTATGCGAAGTTCTTTGCTTAATTAGTAGATAAAACCAGAAAGGCATCATTGGAATTCAGTAAATACAACTACGTACATTACACTTCTTCCTTTTGAGAATTATTTTTTATAATGTATCTTTTTATCAGCAACTAAAACCATTAAAACTATTCAAATAAATTAAGATAGATTTTATATCAATGTATCATATTCAGCCAAGATTTAAAATAAAGCACATTTAATTAACTACTTTAATTGTACATAAGAATAAACCCAACTAAACTCACTGCCATCAAGTTGATTCCGACTCATAGTAACCCTGTAAGATAAGACAGAACTGCCCCTGTGGGTTTCTAAGACTACAACTCTTGACAGGAGATGAAAGCTCCGTCTTTCTTCCAAGGGGCAGGTGGTAGCTTCAAAATGCCAGACAAGAAATGCTTTACTCCCAGCCAGTCAGCATGCAGTGTAGAAACAATGAAACATACAACTTTCCTCTACATCTTAAATGCTTCTTGCCCCCACTCTCATGATCCCAATTCTGCCTTACAAATCGGGCTACACCAGAGGATGTACACTTGTACAGACAGGAACCGGAAACACAGGGAATCCAAGACAGATGATCCCTTCAGGACCAGTGATGAGAGTGGCGATACCGGAAGGGTGGAGGGAAGATGGGGTAGAAAGGAGGAACCAATTATAAGAATCTGCATATAACCTCCTCCCTGGGGGATGGACAACAGAAGTGTGAAGGGAGATGTTGGATAGTGTAAGACATGACAAAATAATAATAATTTATAAATTATCGAGGGTTCATGAGGGAGGGGGAGCAGGCTGGGAGGGGGAAAAATGAGGAGCTGATACCAATGACTCAAGTGGAAAGCAAATATTTCAAGAATGATGGCAATGAATGTACTAATGTGCTTGACACAATTGATGTAGGTATGGATTGTGATAAGAGTTGTATGAGCTCCCAATAAAGTGATTTTTTTTAAAAGATATGCACTTGGGGGGTGGGGGGAGCTTTCCTCAAGAACTAGCACTGTAAATTTAGATTTCTAACCTCTTATTGTTGGTATTATTGTTAGGTGCCATCATGTCAGCTCCAACCCATAGCAACCCCATGAACAGCAAAATGAAATGAAATACCATAACAGTCCTGTGCCATCTTCACAACTGTTCCTATGCCTGAACCCAGTGATGCAGCCACTGTGTCAATCCATCTCCTTGAGGGCCACCCTTCTGCCTTTTCACTGCCCTTCCACTTTACCAAATATGTCCTTCTCCAGGGACTGGTCCTCAAGACAATATATCCAGAGTATGTAAGACAAAGTCCTGGCATCATTGCCTCTAAGGAGTACTCTGGCCTCACTTCTTCCAAGATACATGAGTTTGTCCTTTTAGCAATCCACGGTACTTTCAATATTATTCTCCAGCACCACAACTAAAATGCATCAATTCTACGGTCTTCCTTATCAAATGTCCAACTTTCATAGCATATGATGCAATGGAGAGAACTATGGCTTGGGTCAGGTGCACCTTAATCTTGAAAGCAATATCCTTGCTTGTTAATATTCTAAAGAAGTTGTATGCAGCATATTTACCTAGTACATCTCTTGATATCTTGACTGCTGCTTCCATGAGCATTGATTGTGGATCCACCTAAGACAAAATCCTTGACAACTTCAACCTTTCCTCCATTTATCATGATGTTACCTAATGGTCCAGTTTTAAAAATTTTGATCTTCCTTACAATGAGTTGTAATCCATACTGAAGGCTGCAATCCTTGATCTTCATCAAATGCTTCATCGTCAAGGTTGCATCATCTGCATATTGTACATTGTTAATAAGCCTTCCTGCAATCCTGATGCCACATTCAGCTTCTCTGATCTCTAGCCTCCTGAACTATAAGTCTTCTACTTGATAGGATGGAACTGTATTGTGTTCTGTTGTACATAAATAAGGCTGCTATGAGCAGGAACTGACCTGACAGCACCACACAAATGGCATGTCTGTTATAGCAGCACTGGATAAATTAAAGCTCAGACATTCCTTTGAGAATGTAATGAAGGTCTGAACTCTCTTCCTAGAAAAAGAAAATGTTCCTACACACAAGAATTCATATAATTGCAAGACATTCAATGAAATTCTGAACATTTTCCTAAAGATGCTATGAAATTTCTTCTGTTCTCAAGCATGAAAATGATTGTGCGGATGGTGAAGGGCTGGGCGTGTTTCCTTCTGTTATACATATGGTCACTGGTCTGGAACAACAATCAAGGCTTAATTAAACCCACCTTACTCTGAAATATGGTCTACACTGGGTAGTGTTATGAATTCCAGCATTCTAGTCTCCACAATGAATATTAAAATGACAAAAGCATGCTGTTGTTACTGTTATTAGTTGTCATGGAGCTGCTCATAGCGGTTTCAAAGTTGATGAGAAACAGATCACCAGGCCTGTCTTCTGAAAAGCATATTAAATTCTTTATACTAAGAATAATTTATAGTTCCACAAGACAAAACACTCTGTTTATACTAATTGCAGTATTCCTGCATGTTTTCTTCTTGAGTAGCTAGAAGAACCAAGAAAGATTCTAAGTAATGGCATTGTGACTGTCAACTATGGGAGATACAATTGTTACTGGAGTTTAGGCTCTTGTCTTCCCAAAACATTTACTTTGAGAGGCACAGAATGGGTTTCCCCAAGAGAATTTTACTCAAAGATTCCTACGAGGGTGAAAAGACTCTCAAGCATTCCCACACAAGAAATTCTAGGGAAAATTCCTCATGTGATGGAGGACCTTCCCTCAGGAACAACAAGGGGTTTTGGAAAATGTAGTCTCAATATATTTCAAGGACTCTGCATGCTTTGTCCAAATCTCCACCTTTGCTCCCAGGACCTGTCTCATGATGAAAAGACAATCCTTAAAGCTGAAAGAACCTATGAACCAAATACATTATTTTCTTTCTTTGTGCTTGCAACTATTTCAAATTCCATATAATTTGCATTACATTAGCCTAAAAATTACCCCAGTCCCTTGACCTATCTCAAAAATAACATGTTAACATCTGGCATTTTCAAGATTATATTATATAACACTTCTGGGATGTTTCTGTATGGGGGGTGGGGAGGGGATTTAGGGCATTAACTACACTACATTAGAATCTGCAATATTGGGTGTGTTAAGTTATCTATGTATGAGAAATAATTTCATATCAAGAAATAATTATATATCAAGATGGCATTACAGCCCAGTCCAACTCAAGTCTATATACTGCTGCCGGTTCATAAGTCCCTCTTCAGATTCGCATAGCTGCATGCTGGTGACGCAGAAAGATCACAGGCTGGTGGGTGCACAGTTGCATGGATCCAAAGTTAGTAGAAACACAGCAGGGCACTGACAGTTCTCTTTAGGTTGGGTGGCCCACATGGAGGCAGACACAGAGTCCCAGTGAAATCCCAGTGAGGAGGAAGGGAAAGTGGCAAAGAGAAGCAGTTCCCAGCATCCCTTACTCTCATACCAAAAGCCATACCCCCAAGGGGGTGTCATCAAGCTACCACTTGATTGACAGGTTTGACTCTACCCCTAGCCAGGAGTGTCTACATGACAAAAAGCATCCAGTTTCCACAATGGTGTACATATATTTTCAAGTGCTTTAATAGCAACGTTTTCAATTCTTCATAGCGATTCTGAATATTTTTTAGGGTATACTAATGAATTTCTAGGAATATGAGCAAGTACAAAATGCAAATTGAAAGAGACGTTGATTTGTAGAAAAGGAGCTAATTTATTTAAGTGATATATTGACTTTTTCCATTAAAGTATATTATTCAGGAGGAAAAATATGTTCATATTTCATTTCACATAGACAGAGATCTCTAAGGAGAAAACAACTATAACAAAAACCTTACTGTGTAGCCTTGACTATGTCCCATGTGCTGTAATCATCAATGTGAGTTTTCCGTCCAAGAGGTTCACCATATCCATGGTTATAATGGCTTTGGGGTTTGATTTCCTGCTAAAGAGAAAATCCAAGATAAGAATGGAGAAAAGAGGTGCATAAATATTGAAATATTTTATAACAGGCTATTAAGTAAAATCTGAAGAATGTCCATTACTGAAATGTTTTACCTTATTTTCAAGTTTGTAGTCTTTTAGAAAAAAGAATGTTCAAATAACTCTACCCTGTATACATACTATCCAAATAGAAAAAACTAGAAACGAGTGAAAAACTAGTAAGTGGAATTCACGTTTACCCCCATAAAATTCTCTTATCTTTTCATCAAATAAACGCTCACTCTTATTAGATCATTCTTTGTATGGTTTTAGCACAGCCCCTAGTTCTGTCACTCTATTTCAAAGCCTTCATCACCTGCACTGACTTTCCAGCTCCAATTGCTGTCAAGTTGATTCCAAATCATGGTGACCCTATGTGTGTCAGTATAGAACTTTCAGTGAGTGGGTTTTTAAAAGTAGATTGACACATCTTTCCTTAAAGGTACTTACTTCTTGGCAGATTCAAACATCTAACCTTTTGGTTTGCAGTCAAGCGTGTTAACCATTTGCATAACACATATACTCCTTACATCACCCCCACTCACTGCTACTGTGCTGATTCATAGTGACCCTATAGGACACAGTTGAACTAGCCTGTGGGTGTCTGAAACTGTAAATCTTTTTTTTTAAATCATTTTATTGGGAGCTCTTACAGATATAACAATCCATAATTCAAATAGATCAAACATAATTGTACAATTGCTGCCACCATCACTTTTTTTTAATGGACAATCAATGAGGACATAGGTTTAATTTGCTGTATAAAGAAGTATTTTGTGTTGGAATGGTTGAACTGGGATTTTTTTTTTTTAATCGTTTTATTAGGGGCTACCATCACTTTCAAAACATTTTCTTTCTTCTTGAACTCTTTGATATCAGCTCCTCTTTATCCCCTCCCTCACCCTTACCCCCCAAGAACCCGTATTTTATACACATACACGTATTTATGTATGTATGTATGTATGTATGTATGTATGTATGTATGTATTTGGTCATATCTAACCCACCCAATGTATCCATTCAACTACAATTCTGTTATTCGTTTCCCACGAGTGGGGTTACAGTCATCATTGCTATCGGTCCCCCCTTCACCCACCCCTCTTCCCTTACCCTAAGGGAATAAGTACTATTTCTGAAGGGTTTATCAATTTTGGATTTCATGCATCGAATGGTCTTAATCATACAAATGAACATATGTAGGTCTAACAAGATGAATAAGGTAAAACTAAGAACTTAATAATAAGGGGAGGAAATAATGAACTAGAAGATTTGGGGGCGGGGGATTAAAACAGAAGCTGATACCAAGGGCTCAATAGAAAGTAAATGTCTATAAAAGAATGAAGGCAACATATGTATAAACATGCCTGATGCAATTGATGCATGCATTGTAACAAGAGTTGTAAGAACCACTAATAAAATTATCTTTTAATTTAAAAAAAGAAAATGAAAAGATTTCATTTACTAGGAAAATGTATGAGTGCTATATTCATGTTGAGGACACATTTGGCAATGTTAATCAGGAACTTTCAGTGATACCATCTATTCAATTGTGTGTGTGTTTTTCCCTATGAAGTTTTTAAATTCTAATAAAATGTTTGTGTTTACTATTGAAAAGAAAAAATAACTAGAGGATAGGTATGTGTTTCATCAGTGCTGTTCTGCACCCAGAATATACCATCCCTTCCATGTGGCCCTACTCTGAGGGACTGTACAATTATCTGACAGGTGGGTTTTGGGTCTCCACTTTGTCTGTGCTACTTCACGTCAATTTGATTGCTTGTTTTTGAACTTCTGAAACCTATTCCTGTTGACACCTCATAATCATACAGGCTGGTGTGCTTCTTCCATGTGGGCTTTGTTGCTTCCCTGCTAGAGGACGCTTGTTTAACTTCAGGCCTTTTCGATCCCAGACGCTATATCTTTTAACATTCAGGCACCATCAACTTCCTTCACATTTGCTTATGCACCCCTTTTGTGTTCAGCAATTGTGTGGGAAGGTGATTATCATACACTGCCACATTATTAAAACAAGCTGTTCTTGAATTGAGCTAAGATTTAAGTAGAGGCCCAAAGAGACTGTAAATCTTCAGGGGAGTAAAGCCTCATCTTTTCCCCAAGGAACAGCTGGTGGTTTTGAAATGCTGACCTTGCACTTAGTCGTTCAGTGCATCATAGTTCCCAAATAAACGGTACAATTCTTATTATAAACTGAATTGTGATCCTCAAAAAATATGCATTGAAGTCTTAACCTCTATAATTCGGGATATAATCCTGTTTGGAAATAGAGTTTTTCTTTTCTTAGGTTAATGAAAGTATGGTGGGTCTAAAATTAAACCACTTCTGCATAAAAGGATGAATAGACAGATACATACCTTATGAAGGTAAACAATACGGCAGCTACATCTACAAGCTTGGAACCCCGTATGATTGCTGGCAGCTGCTAATAGAAGCAGAGCTAGGCAAAGAAGGGCCTCCCCATGGAGCCCTATTCTGAACTGGAATTTCTTATGTACTAAAGTTTAAGAAACTAAATTTTTGTTCTTTCAAGTTGCCCATTTGTGGTATTTTTTGTGTCAGCAGCACTATAGGAACCCATTCTTTAAAAAGGAAACCATTTTTTTTAAAAATTGTATATTCTTAAATCCCTTCATGTGGAGAGCTTTGAAGCAAGAGGGGAATAAGAGACAGTGAGGCAATTCTGATAAATGTTGTTGCTGTTAGCTGCAGTTAAGTCAGCCCAATTCAAGGTACCCTCAGGGACAGACAAAAACAAAACACATCATCCCAATGATTGGCTACAGATTAGTCCATGGTTAATACACAAGGTTTTCACTGGCTATTTTTGGTTTTCACCATCTTTCTTTTCATTAAAGGTATGGTCTACCATAGTATTTTCAATGGCCTCATCTGCAAGTGAAAGTTGGATATTAAATAAGGAAGACCAAAGGAGGAGGCATGCCTATGGATTGCAGTGCTGTCGAAGAATACTGAAAGTACTATGGACTGCAAAAATGACAAACTGATCAGTCTTGGAAGAAGGATGGCCAGAGTGCTACTTAGAGGTAAGGAGGGCAAGACTTCATCTTACATATACTTTGGAGATGTTGTCAGGAAAGACCAGTCTTAGAAAAGGATAAAATGTTTATTAGAGTAAAGGCACGGCAAAAAGAGGAAGGTCCTCAGGAAGATGGAATGACACAGTGACTTCAACAACAGGCTCAAGCATAGGAACAAATGTGAAGATGGTTCTAGACTGGGCAGTATTTGTTCTGTTGTGTATAGGACTGCTATGAGTTGGAACCGATTAAATGGCACCTAACAGTAATACTGTAATAAACAGCAAAGTCCAAATTTTGAAACCACCAGCTGCTCCTTGGGAGTAAAATGGAGCTTTCTCTTCCCATAAAGAGTTCAGAATCTCTACCATCCAACAGTGTTGGTCAGAGTCGGCATTGACTCCTGGCAGTGAGTGAAACGAGAAACTATTCCTAAGTGTTTAAGTATCATTTGAGACACCACAGAACCATATGGGAGAGCACATCCAAGCATTAAAGAAAAGTGCCGTGGGAGAAACAGATGGCTTCAGAATAGGTAAAAAAGGAGGGAGCGTAGAGGAACGCTTGACCTTTGCCTTGTGAAACAAGACAGAGGTCAGCTTCTCTAATATAACATAGCACTGAGACATAACCTTTCCTTTTATGTGAAACAGAAAAAGTATGCTATGTTCAACTCTATTCTGCAATGCCAATTGCTATGTTTGTTATTATTTCTATACATGCAAACACGAGTAAAAATATAAAAGAAAAGGTTATTTGGAGACATAAGATTATTTGGAGAAAATTAAGTTGTTAGAAAATACATCCTCTTTTGTCTTTGATCACAACGCCTAGCACTCATATTTAATAATAGGGTTAAAAAGGAATTTTGTTTCCCAAATTATATTGGAAGTCCCAAATAATTTGAGCCAAAAGATTTAAAAGCCTCTATCAATCTAAATGTTACAACTAGGAATTAAATGTTTCACAAATCTAAATTCTGCTTAGCCATGTGCAGTGTAGTGAATTACTTAATATGGCTCTCCTAGTCTCATTCTTCATAACTTCCACCAAATGACTTTTTCCTGATGGATCTGTGTAGAAGGTGGGGAAAGACACTGAAAGGTCTATGTGATTCAGTTTTAACTGTTAACAGGCTAATTGTGATTGCCATCCTGCTGTGTACAAAATAAGCTATCTCAGAAACAGGAAGAGGGCATCTCTATTAGCAAGAGAGAGAGAAATTCTCTCTCTCTCTGGAGTGGAGCATGTCCATTGGATCCAGAGATTCTTATACACTGAATTTCCTTGATCCTGGAGACAGCTGTGATACCAGAGGAGTAACAAGCAGCAGAGGAGCAGCTGAATTAAAATTAAAACCCAGAAAATGAGACAGAGCAGTAGACTTAGTCCACAGAGCAAGTTAAGCTGTGCATTTCGGCAGGAAGCTGGTTAAGGAGTAGGGTGCCTCCAGGAGCTAGGTTTGCTGATCCACAAAGCTAGAGCTGGAGCACTTAAGGTGGAGTGGTATATACTTTGTATATACTGGCAGCCCTAAAAAAGCTTTACAACATTGTACAAGCAGGGCAGATGTCAGTGGGCCTGTAGCTGAGAGGCCAAAGACCAGAGAGAGGCCTGCCTCTGGGCAAAGCTGAGAAGAGGCAGTCTTAACAGAATAAGCGTATCCAGAGCATTTGTAAATACTTGGTAAAGTAGAGTGGTAGTGAAAAAGATAAAGAGCCTCAATGAGATGGATTGACACAGTGGCTGCAAAAATGAGCTCAAGCACAAGAACAATTGTGAGGAGGCACGGGACCAGGCAGTGTTTCGTTCTGTTGTGCACAGGGTTGCTATGGGCCGGAACCTACTCACCGGCACCCAGCTAGCTAGAGCATTTACAACCTGTAACTTCCTGAATAAGACC